AACAGTAAGAAATTCTATGCTTTTCCTATTAAATTAGCATCAATTTTTAAAAAGTCAACATCCACAATTAGCTAGGATACAGTGAGATGGAAATTAGGATGTACTGCTGTGGAGGTGGGTGGGGATTGGGGCATAAACTGAAAGGCAATCTGGATGTATGTGTTAGACTCTTTTAAGATGGGTCCAATGCCAGCCCAGGCATTTCACCCTGAGGGGTGATTTCCATGTCAATTATCAAGCATTTGAGTGATGAATTATGTCATACTGTTATACACAAGCCAAAAAAAGCTGGATGCCACCAAAACGTCCCACATGAACACGGTGAGAGTGGAGGTGTTAACAGAAGGGGAAACAGAGGAAGAAAAAAAGATCAAGCACTAGAAGAGAAGCATACATTTGAGGACTTGAAGTCTGAGGCGCTTACGGGACATATTCAGATGGGCAGAAATGGAAGCCTGATGTGGAAGAGATAAAGGACCAGAGAGAAAAATCTGGGACTCAGTCTTGGACAAGACAACAGGACACAGAAATCATGTTCTCTGACAACAGCGAAGATCCTGGGGAAAGGTTTCATGAATAAGGCTGATTCCAAAGCACACGCACAATTTAGTACAAGGAAAAAAGTTTATATGTCCCTCCCAAAAAAGAAAAATCTGAAATGAAAATGTTAAAAGCAAAATGTTGAAACTGTAGGCGATCTAGCTATTATTTTTCTTTATACTCTTCTGTATTATCCTTTTATTTTTTTTTAAAGAGCAGTTTCTTCATTCAACTCACATATATTAAGCGACTATAATTTCCAGCCTTTTCCTGAATGATAAATATATATTTTTCACTACTTAAAAGCTTTGTTTAATTGAAGATGTTCTCACTATTATTGCCTTGTTTTACAGATAAGGAAACACTGACAACACCCAGAGAGGAACTGACTTGCCCAAGGTCACAGAGTCAGCCCGCACTCCTTCGGAAACCCATCCTGGAGCTCCGAAAAAGAGGCAACAGAAAAAGAGGTTTGGTTTGCAACCAAACTCTCTGAATCACAGCTCTCCTACAAGGTGAGGAAGCTCTATAAATACAACCGTGAATGTGTGCTTTATCATATACCTTCCACTCCCTTATTATAAGTAATCACCGTCATGGCATTTTACCAAAAAGTTCCAGAGCAAAGTATAATTTTCTCTCTTGATAATTTTGAGGACTTTTTGTCCTTCACATAAAAGGTGTTCTGCATTCCCTCAATTTAAAAAAAAAAATGATTTTTTTGCCAGCTACAGATGCTGCCAGGTTTTTAATGTGAGTTCACCCACTCCAAGCTGTGTCTGTGTCTGAATACAAATATATATATATTTGAAAACTGACTGAGTTCTTTTAATTCACTTTCTTATCACAGGATGTTGTAAAAGCAGTCATAATTCCTTCAAGTTTATCTAATTTACAATACCCATTTGAATAAAGAATCCCATTGTCTTTCACAACAGATATTAAATTATTGGAAGACTACTGTATATCTAGTACAGAATAACAAAATGAAATGTGGTTCCTTTAAAGCAGGATGCTATTACCATTAGTTATATCGGAAGGAAGGCTTTTACCTGTAATTAAGTAAATCAATTATAAGCTTTAAACCTACCTCTGACATGAATTAGATTTCCAACATATGTAACCTTTGGTTGACCTATATTTCAGTTTTTAAATTTGGCTCCATCACAACCTAGTGATCAATACATAGAACACCACAAACAGTATCCCTCCTGTTTGTCAGATATTATAAATGATCAGCCTGATGCTTGCAGGAAGCACACACTGGTCTAACCTTTTGGGGACCATTTCCTGAAAGCATGATATATCATTCTTACTTTATGGCTTTCTGTACTTAAGGTACCCATTTCTGTGCCCTTAGAGATGATGTGGCTATAAATGCAGGTACAAATGTCTCACAAACGCACTCCCTGCAGTGTATATTTATTTTGACAACCTTAACTGTCTCCAGCACTGGGAAGGTGAAGGGCTATTGTATATCTTAAGGTTGACTTTGCTCTGTCTTTGACAAAAGCCATCTCACAGTAACATACCCCTTACTTATATAGGTTTTTCATCTACCTATGGCCACTTTGGTGAATCTAAACATTAGATTTTTTAAAACATCATCATTTCATAAAGGAAGAGAACCTAGTATAGAAGGCAGGTGGTCCTGAATTTGAAGCACGACTCTGCCACTTACTAGGTGTGCAACCATGGCCATGTGACTTACATTTCAGCTTCTTTAACTGCAAAGGGTAGACAGTGGCACCTGGGATGGTTGGAAGACAAAGCACAGTGTCTAAAACATAGCACAGACTTGATGAAGCAAAGGCTGTTCAACAGTACTCATGTCTTTCAAGTTTAGTATAAAATATGACCAGCATTTACAAAAGACTTCTCTGTCCCTATTCCCCCAAATCCAAAACCACCAACTCTGCACTGGGAATTATCGTGAAGACTCTAGAAAAGAGGACAAAATAACTTCATGATGGCCTTCTTTCAGAACTCAGGCCAATACTTTAATGCTCATGTTTATTTATATTTACTTGTCTGGTTCCCTGTTATGGAGTCTCATCTGTTTAGGGAGTGGGGGTGGAAGGGTTGGTATCTCCTGGGATCCAACCAACTGATTTCAAAGTAAACTTTTGCAACTTTGCCCTTTTGTGAGTACTGTTTAATGTTCAACATGCATTTGGTCTTTGCTCAATCTTTGACCTTATCTCTGACCATATCGTTTTCTGCTCTCAATTCTAAGCTCATGAAAAACATGTTTTCCTTTAATGTTTTGACAACCTTTAAGTGAGAAATGCCTAGAGAATCAACCAGAAAGTTCTTTAAATAATATGCTACAAAAAGTTGTCTTCTAAGTATGGAATTGTGAAGTGACGTGAAAGTGCAAGTCAATCAGTCGTGTCCGACTCTTTGTGACCCCATGGACTATACAGTCCATGGAATTCTCCAGGCCAGAATACTGGAGTGGGTAGCCTTTCCCTTCTTCAGGGAATCTTTCAAACCCAGGTCTCCCACATTGCAGGCAGATTCTTTACCGTAATGGAATCGTAAACCTCTCCAAACTGGAATCCCAGAATGGACAAGAACATGCAGAAAACTGAGAACCACCTCCCTAGATCTTCGGGCATGCACCAATCATCTTGAGAGAGAGAAGGAACGTCCCTTCCCCACAGCATTCTAACCCTTCTTGGCTGCTTCATCTGGGATGAGAGAAAGGGAAATAATGAAGGGGAATGATGCTAGTGGGCCTGGTGACTGACTGATGATCAGCAACAGCAGCTCCCTACTTGGTAAATGGGGGTGTCAATGAAATGCCCTGCCATCAGCAATGCACCGAGTGAATGATGAGTCCGTGACAACAGAAAGTGCATGTACAATAACTGAATACAACAGCACACATGATTTCTATACACAGGTACACACATGCACAACACCACCTCAGTTATGTAAAATAAAACACACGAAAACCATAGAGACATTAAACCACAACATTGTCACCAAGTGAGAAATTATGGGTAATACTGTTCCTCTTTCTGTTTTTCTATTTTTTTCCCCCCAACTTTCTACAATCGTGTATTTTGCTTGGATATCTGAAAAAATGTATTTTACATGTCAACATAAATAAAGTTGTTGAAATTTAGCAAATTTCACGTTTTAGCAAAAGAGAAAAGTGAATACGCTTCAACAGATACTGATCTTTCCTATAAAAGACCTTGACCATTGTCCTGATAATTAGTAACTAGGAGGAAGCTTTGCAAATGTTGGTGTCAGCAGCCTGCCCCAGACCTTCTCTCTGGGTCAGATAGTCCTTTTTTTCTTAAACATTTTGGTCAATTATAGAGGATTGGGAACATGGAGGAAGAGAGGTGTAGAGAGAGTCAAGCTGTTAGAAATCGGTAGGGTAACGGATAAATCCTCAAAACTGCTTTGAAACCGCACAGCCTGTACTTGGACTAAACGGCCCGATTTGCTTCATACACATCAGAGCATGGTCAATGAGAAAAAACCCGCAAAGACAGCTCAGACCTTCAGGATATCACTACTTGCATTTTGCAAGGAGCTGGCTGTCCCACCACAGCCCCAACGGGAGCCTCAAGAAGGGTGCAGGTCAGACTCCAGGCAAAGTGGCTGCGTGCAGTTTTAACTGCAGGTTCCTATAAGCTGCCCTGTTCATCTTCTTCTAATTTTTATTTATTTTTTTCTGTCGGAAGCTTTGGAGATTCGTTTCAGTTCTTTTCATAGGCTGAGTCTTTAGGCCTTTGTGTTTAGAGAAACCCAGGCCTCCCTCACCTGGGGAGATCTGTAATCTGATCCTTCTACCCTTCCGTGAAAGCCGCAGGTGCTCAATCAGCAAGAATCCGGGTCTGAATTCGATGTCCCCAGGCAAGCAGGTAGGAGAAGGGGTGGGGTCAGGTCGAGAGCTATCGCCGGGAGACCGTTTCTGCAACAGCGCTCTTGGAAACCCTCGTCGGCCTTGCGTGAATACTTTTTCTGCTGGAGGGTGGCAGCAACGATTGTGGATGTGGTGGGCTCATCACCATCACCCGCCGTGCGCTGCTAACTTTTGAGTCAAGGCGGTAACTACTGGGTGAATGGATTTTTCATTTGGTTTTGGCTGAGAGCGTCGACTACAAAGAGTCTAGATATTAAGGAGGACTTTCGGAGTTTCACAGAACACCCAGTGAAAAGGAGGGGTTCCGGGGAGGGGGGTAGAAAAACGAGGGTGAGGGAATAGGTTGCTTTAAACGAGTCAGATTACCCAAAGAGAGGCGCAGGGGGGCGTCTGGTTCGGCCGAAGCAGAGCTGATGCCCCCCGAGGAGGACCACCCAGAAGGAAGGAGCTCAGCGTGGGGGCCCGCATCCGGCGGGGTCGCCCCGGCTCTCTCCTCCCGGTCCGGGGACCGCCGGAGGGGCGGCCGAGGACTGGGCGGGCGTCCGGGGTGTAAGGGCGCGCGGGGGCCGGGTACCTTGGTGCCCAGATGGAAGTCGTCCACGGAGCGCGAGCCCATGAAGGGGAACTGCATGTGTGTGTGCGTGTCGATGCCGCCGGGCAGGACCAGCTTGCCGGCGGCGTCGAGGACCCGCAGCCCGGCGGGCGCGTCCCCGGGCGGCAGCAGGTGGCGCCCCACCGCCCGCACCACGCCGTCCTCCACCAGCACGTCGGCCTCCTGCGAGGAGTCGTCGTTGACCACGCGCCCCCCGCGGATCAGCAGGAGCGACGGCGCAGCCATGGCGAGGGGCGCGTTCCTCCTCGGTGTCCGCGGACAGCCCCAGGGCCCCGCGTCCGGGTTTATCAACTCGGCCGCGGGACGGCGTAGGGAGGGGAGAAGGGGCGTATCCACCTCCAACCACCGTGGGCCTGCACCCAAAGGATGGGGGTGCAACCAAAGGTCAGTGCAGCTCAGACTCTGCTGCTCCGAATCCTGCTCCACGTGGAGGTCTTGGTCATTAGAAGGGAAACATCTTGAGGGTAGTTTTATTCATTTATTTTTAAAAGTTTATGAACTTTTATTGGATACATTTATTTAATATTAAAGTTATTTATATTAACATATTTATATGAACTTTTATTGGAGTGTAAGATATTTACAATGGGGAGGGAAGTGGGAGGGGGGTTCAGGATAGGGAACACATGTCAGTCCATGGCTGATTCATGTCAATGCATGGCAAAAACCACTACAATATTGTAAAGTAATTAGCCTCCGACTAATAAAAATAAATTTAGAGAAAAAGAGATATTTACAATGTTGTGTTACTTTCTGCTCTACAGCGAAGTGAGTCAGTTATACATGTATCCACGCTTTTAGATTCATTACACTGTACTGCATAGAGTTCCCTGTGCTATACAGTCGGTTCTTCTTGATTGTCTGTTTTATATATAACGGTGTGTATATGTTAATCCCAGTCTTCTGATCCTCCCTCCCCACTTTGGTAACTCTGTTTATTTTCTAAGTCTGTGAGTCCCTTTCTGTTTTGTTAATAAGTTCATTTGTAGCATTTTTTTTTTTTAGATTCCACATATTAGTGATATCACATGTTTGTCTTTCTCCGACTTCACTCAGTGTGACAATCTCTAGATCCATCCATATTGCTGCATTTTTTATGGCTGAGTAATATTCCATCATATATATGTATATGCCACATCTTCTTTATCCATTCTTCTGTTGGTGGATGTTTAGGTGGCTTCCATGCCCTTGCTGTTGTAAATAGTGTTGCAATGAATTGGGGGTACATCTATCTTTTTGAATTATGGTTTTCTCTGGCTGTATGCCCAGGAGTGGGATTGCTGGATCATATGGTAGCTCTATTTTTAGTTTTTCAAGGAACCTCCATACTGTTCTCCATAGTGGCTGTACCAGTTTAAATTCTTGGTAGGAATGTAAGGAGGGTTTCCTTTTCATGGAGTGTAGGAGGGTTTCCCTTTCATGGAGGTAGTTTTAAAGGCGAGGGATATTTGCTTTCCTTTATAAGAAAAGGCACTTTTGGGAAAGAAATTCACCTCATCTCTTCTCTTTATGAAAAATGTGTCTGTACCAAAACACAGACAGAGGCAGAAGGAGAGGGGAAGGGGGACAGACAGACATCTCTGCAACAATGAAAATACCCATGCCTGGAAGACCCACTTGATCTGTATTTCTTTTTAAATATTCTTAATTATGTGAGGAACAACGATAAATGACATCCTCACCCTCACCTCAGGGAACTAGGAGACAACAGTAACACACATACATATTTCAATTTATAACTACATAAACCAGAAGTTTCTACTTTTGAGAGAGGGTACGTATATGAGTTTAGAGGAAAGGGAAAGTTTATTTCTGCCTTGAAAATTAGAGATGGACGATTCACAAAGAATATTTGATTTCGGGCATGTGCTTAGTCGCTCAGTCAGTCCGACTCTTCGTGACCTCATGGGCTGTAGCCCACCAGGTTCCTCTGTCCATGGGGATTCTCCAGTTAAGAATACTAGAGTGGGTTGCCACGCCCTCCTCTTGGGGCTTTTCCCAACCCAGGGATCAAACCCAGCTCTCCCGTGTTGCAGGCGGATTCTTTACCATCTGAACCACCAGGGAAGCTGAAGAATACTGGAGTGGGTAGCCTATTCCTTCTCCAGGGGATCTTCCCGACCCAGGAATCAAACTGGGCTCTCCTACATTGCAAGCAGACTATACCAGCTGAGCTACGAGGGAAGCCTGAACTCTAGCATAGAGGACACGAATGTGGAGAGAGGAGGGGTGGGGAGAGGGCTGGCTTTCTAGGTGAAGGAACAAGCTAGGTAAAAGCACAGAGGAGATGATGGCACGTTGAGTCTGAGCCCCATGTGGTTAAGCTGAGGCGCTAGGGTTGGACAAGAGGGGGCCAAGAGGGACAGTCAGAGAGAAGGGAGTTCAGGGAGCCCTGTGTGAGGGAAGACAGCAATGCAGGATTTTCAAGGGCACCAGGATCAAGGGCCCTGGTAAAGAAGAGGTGGAGAGAGGCTGACGTGCGCTCTTCCACCATCTGTTCTCATCCTCCTCCTGCCAGTAGTCGGTGGAGTTTCTTCGGCAGGATATCCTCCACGTGCATGCTCAGAACACTTGTCTTGGTTGAACTGGTGGCACCTTGGGCTCTGGGACTGACCCACTTACCTCAGCGCTCCCCATCACAGCAGGACATCATCACAGCCACAGTGATGTGCTCAGCGATGATGTGGGTCCCAAGAAGACTGACTGTGCTCAGTGAAAGCAGACCCCAACTTGTTTTTGTTGAGCAGAGGGGAAGCTTTTTCTTTCCTGTTGGACTTGAATCCTGGAGGGAGTAAACTACAACAGGGAATAGTCCCACGAACAAGCCAACAGACACAACAGGAAGGAGAGATGGAGAAGGACTGTGTTCTCATGACATGCTCCACTCCTGAAACCAACCGTGTCTGATGACCCCTATTTTCAGACTCTCCAGTGTTTGCTTCAGTGGGTTTCCTTTGGATTTTTTGTCATTTTCAACCACCAGTTGACAGAGAAAGGGAAGACCCTTCAAGTTTGGGGACTAAGTAGTCACATGTGACCTCGGAGATGGCATTTTTAATAATGGAATATAAGGTATTATTAACACCAGATTTCCTCAAGTCTCAGATTACACAAACCTCACAATGATTAAAAATTAGGAAACATCAATAAAGTGCCATAGATTTGGCAGTCAAGTCAGGAACAAGAAACCCAAGAAGGTAATGTGATTTTTATCCGAAGGCCATTGTGGAAAGGTGAAAAGAATAATTATAAATATAACGAAATTCCACCAAGCTACACACATAACAACACTCTAAGGAAGATAAGATTGGTTGGTGTCAGGGTGGTTGTGACATCCTTTATGAAACTACTCAGATGGGTGACTTCAAAGGTGTCTTTATCTCAGACACTTGATATCACAAAGCGCCCTGTAACACAACCCAACGCAAACACTCCACATTTCATTAACTCAAGCTTGTAATCAGGAAAGGGAGTTTTTAGAATGTCACTGAAGCAGGAGGAAATAGCTCAGAGAGTGCCACTGACCGCACAGAAGGGTCGGTGAGTTTAAGAAGAAAAGCCAGCTCACAGAAGGGATCTTGCCCCTCTCTGGTCACCACTGTCCAGATGCCAGGCCGTGTCCACCACCTGCCTGCTGGAGATTGTGTCTGAGCAGGTGTTCTCAGAAGGGAAGCTTGTCCTCAGAGACCCCTTACCTCCCTTTTCTCTGCCCTACTCAGACCTGTGGGCCCCTGGTGGACAGGAAACAGCACCCCAGACTCGATGGCGTTGTCACTGGAGGACGGTGGGAAGCAAGATTCCTGCTGTTTTGCTTTCTTCTTGCTGGAGAATCAGTCTGACTGACTAATATACCAAAGGGTGTCTGAGGAACCATTACTCCTCAGAGGACTCACTTTGAAGGAGGATTGTGGATGCTTAACCCACAGAAGCGCATTGTTGTTCAGTCGCTCAGTTGTGTCCGACTCTTTGCGACCCCGTGGATGGCAGCACGCCAGGCCCTGTCCCTCAGCATCTCCCAGAGTTTGCGCAAGTTCAGGTCCATTGAGTCGGTGATGCCATCCAGCCGTCTCATCCTCTGTCGTCCCCTTCCCCTCTGGCCCTCAGTCTTTCCCGACATCAGGGTCTTCTCCAGTGTGTAGGTGAGAGCAGTTAGAAAGGAAGGCCTTCCCAGCTCTGACTGATGGTCTCAAGGGACAGAAAGGCTGAGCAGCAGTGACTTCCTTCTCTGAGCAGCTCAGGTTTTAGGGGAAACACACCCCCCAGGTCCAGGCGTATTTAGGTCCTCCACAACCCTGGCGTCACTGAGTTTGCTTTCCCTGTTCTCCTGAGCCCTCCTCACTCCTGCTCCAGGCCCCTGTGGCGACGAGGGGGTTTCAGGGTGGTGTTTGCAGCTCGAGGAAAAGTCGTCCATGGGCAGAAAGGGGAGACGATGAGGGTGTGTGAGCCGGAGTGAACAAGGAGAGAGCGGGCAGAGCTGGGCGTCTCCAGTATGCCCAGCCGGGAGCTGTGGGCAGCCCTGGCCGCCTGGCCCTCACTGGTATCAAAGTCCCTGGCAGGGGAATGAGGTTAAACCTGAATCAGCGATAGAAGGGGCGGGTAGGGGGCATGGAAGGGAACCAGGAGTCTAGTGCAGCTCTGATGCCAGCTTCTGGTGTGAGTCTGGGCAAGTCACTCTCAGGCTCCTCAACTGAAAAATGAGGAGCTAGGTTGACAAGAGCTTGTAAGGCTTCCCTGGTGGCTCAGTGGTAAAGAATCTGCCTGCAAAGCAGGAGACCCAGGTTCGATCTCTGGGTCGGGAAGATCCCCTGGAGAAGGGAATGGCTACCCACTCTAGTGTTCTTGCCTGAGAAATCCCATGGACAGTGGAGCCTGGTGGGCTACAGTCCCTGGGGTCACAAAGAATCGGACACGACTGAGCGACATTCACTACTACTACAGGTACTGTTACAGTCCTGTGATTCTGCGAACAGGGACAAGTCGCCCATCCAGAGAGTGCCAGGCATAGGTCTGAATTAGACTCTTCTTGGGTCCAGGTAAGTGAATTACAGACCAGGAAGCTCTTGCTTTCTAGATTTGGGGCTGCTTTATTTCTGGGGCCTCTACTGAGGCAGAGGGGATCTGCTTGGAAAGAGTTCCACATACAGAGTGTAAATCCAGATGTAGGTTATTGGTGGGAACTTTTGGTGATAAGCAAGAACAACATCTTTCTCTCTACTCAGCAGGAATAG